GAAAATTATCGTAATCTATTGTATAGATTGGTGCATACGAAATAATCGGCATGAAAGTAGAATTGCCAAAAGTAGAAAATATTTTCATTAATTATAGACAATGAAAAATATTACTTTACAGAAAGTTTTTTTTAAATTTCCATTTGAGAATCTGTAAAACTTTGTAAAGATTTAATATCAGCTAATATACCGTTAAAGCCGTACAAATTATCTTGCAGAAATTGTGGATAAATAATGGAAAACTTTTGCAGTCTAATTGAATAATATCCGACGCTTTTAAAAAGTAATATATTTTGTTTTTATGGCATATATATAATGATATTAAATAAATCATTTGCATGTTATTTCTAAGTGTTGTATAGGGCTGCTGCATAAAGAAATTTATTTCAATGGGATAATTGCATTTATCATCGCTCGAATACTATTTATTTTTATCGTCGATTCACGTATTATACTAATTCAATATAATCATATCCCTATTAATAAGTTTGCCATAATTATTATTATCTTTACCTATTATAATTTATTATTTCAATGATTAAACATTACAATTAACAATGATATTTAATACCAATTTAAGTACTTTATATTTATTACAATTACATTAAATAATAATTAAGAATTTTCAAAATTATAATTTTTTTATTGTAAATTTTTTTTTTATTTCGACGTGTCTGTGATTTTAAGGTTATTATTAGATCAGTCATAAGTACTTTTATGGATGTATTTGTATTTTGAAGAAACTTTTAAATGTGATACGTGAGGTTGGTCGATAATATTGAAAATTTTCATTATTTCATTTTGCATATAAAATCATTATTTTGTTTATACTGATCCTCGTTGATGAAACATCGAAAATATAAGAATTTATGAAAGAAAGAAGTGAATTCAATTTATATATACATATAGTGACAGAAGCTTATACAAATAAAATAAAATCGACTTAAGTGGATTTAGTATTATATTTTATACTATTTTAAAATAATATAATAAAAAATTGATAAAACACAATAAAATCATTCAAAAATATTCAACGAAGCCTGTATTATTATACAAATCTATCTTTCCAATCTTAATATTCATTTCTTTCCCAATGTTATTAATTTTTATAAGTGTTATAAAATATGTATAATTTTTGTTAATATTACAAAATTAATATCAAAATGTCATCAAATGTCTAAATATATGATGTATTAATCACTTAAACGTATTGTAATAAAACGTGAAAGGTTATAAAATTTAATTCAGTGTTTGAACATTTTATTATATAAAATACACACGCGCTCGAACACGCAGACACACACACACACACACACACGCGCGCGCATGTATTTATAAGCAATTTATACTAATAATAAATTTCCTCGGTAACATGGATATGAAAATGTTGAAATAGCTATATAAATAATCGTGTTTACTATTAGTAATGATATTTCGCAATACAATAATAATAATAAAATTAATTTTACCTTTATATGCAACGAAGATTCGAAACGTTAAACATACATTTCTAAGCAATATAATATTCGTTTAACCGGATATTTGGAAAATTGTATTTGATCCATCAATGTTTCGTACAATACCAATGACCACCGATACTCACAAATTCAATACGGAATGTAAGGAAGAACATTGTAATGAAAAATATTAAAATTATTAGCCAACTTTATGCTAATGTAGACGATGATAAACTGTTAATACAACTGTATAATAATAACGTACACTTAATCTGGCTTGACACTTTATGAATAAACATATTATTTCGAGACATCAGATTTTGATAAATATAGTTGATTTTGTATAATGACTAATAAAACATTTTTTCGTTTAAGATTTAATATAAGATTATTTATTATTATTCATTTCTTAATAAATATCATCGTATTAATTATGTTAAAAATTTATACTAGAATAATAAGATTGTAGTTTCATTTATTTTTTACTAATGTCAAACAAGTATTTAAAAAAATCACATTAGGAAGATGGATATATACATATATATACATATATATTTTTTTTATGGCTATAAAAATATTAAATTTTCATTATAAATTTAAACTATACAAAAATATAGTATTTTTTTTTTTTGTTTTTTTTGTTTTGGTGATAATTAATATTTTAACTAAAATATTATAATAAGAGTTTGTAAGTTGTATTTAAAAAATAACCTAAATCATTATTTGCATGTAGGCTATATGCATTGTCATCTTAAATTTTTCATAAAATCATTATTACATTATTGTTCAAATTCAACAAATATAACAAATTTCTTACACACAATATTAATGGATAAAAGACTAAAGAAGCTATTAATCATCAATTTATGAATTCAATTGAATATATTTGAGTGATTAATCATTTTTCAAAGTCGCGATAAACTTTTCTTATATTAAACTTGCATTTACTGCATAATCCCTTTGCATATAAGAATGATTTTTGTACTAAATAATGTTTACCTTATAAGTCATACCTCCAAAAAATTTAATCAGTGTAATAAGAATCACATTAATTTGATATCTTAAACTATGTTCTATAGATATATTTTTTTATTAATGTTTTTGCCTCGTAGTTTTTATCATATTTTGTCGTATTTTATGAATATTTTTCATTCCAGATTGTATGAAATGTATAATTTTACCTGAAAAATAAAAAATTAAAAAATATAAATAAAAAATAATGCAAGTAAAAAATTAATTAATGTAAACGTGTCAAAATAAAATCTGAAGCTAAGAAAGTAGATATGTATTTTATGAAATATATGTTATTTATGTATGTAAACGAAATTTTTGAGTTCAAAGGAAAAATAAAGTCCGATTGTCTTACATAAGAGAAAATTAAATTTCTTTTAATGTTAAAATTAATTAAATATAACTACAATAATATGCTTCAATCTAAGCTTATTAACATAGTTACATAACTATATATCCGAGTATATTTTCACATGCCAACAATATAAAATTTCATTAATAAATCTTTATACATTTCCCAATGCGTATAATCTTAGTAATGTGTAATATTTATAAAAAAAAAAAAAAAAAAAAAAAAAAAAAAAAAAAACATTTTGTAATGAAATGAATTAACGAACACTGTGCTGAGATTCGAATCTATTTGAAATATTTGTCAAATAAACGAAATATGGAATTATTGTTTTACTTATAAAACTTCTTCATAATTACATTATGTAGGACAATAAATAAAAAAGAAAACAAATAATTATCAGGTTAAAGTATTTTTATTTTATAAATTATTATTTTTTACGCGTCTTAAAACTTTATACTGTAATAGTAATAATCCTTTATATTATTCAAATAAAACGAGCTAATCTGGACATAAAAAAATAACTTTTTCATTTATTGTCATGCGTGACAGATGGGTGGATGGTATTAGTTACGTAATGTAACGTAACGATTAATGAATTTGGTTAAAAAAAAAAAAAAAAACACGAAAAAATCCATAAAATTATCAAAACCTCTTCTTTACTTTCAAAGAGGCGGAGGAAAACGCAAAAACATTGTCTTTATTAGCGTAGGTCGGTAAAGAAAAATCCTTCTAGAAATTCGAGCGAAGTCGAACATTTATAAAAAGGAAAAACAAACTGCACAACCAACTCTCAAAGAAATACGCGAAAGCTGACCGTAAATCGACTCGATAAGTAGAGTATGACCTGGCCTACGGATGCCGTACTTTTGTCTCCCTCCTTTCACTCTCTAATGCATGCAAGGCATAGAGTCCAATTCCCCGCGATCCGCTCCTTCTCACTCTCTCTCTCTCTCTCTCTCTCTCTCTCTCTGTGTCGTAGTGGAGGGCTTAGATTCGTGGTATTGAGTGGCGACGGGTTAAGGGCCGGAAGGGGCATAAGGGGGAGGGGGAAACACACGCACACACACGGCAATTGCCGATGCGCGAGCCGAGTGTCGCGATTCGACGACCGCTAATTCGAAAAAGCATATCATCATCTCCACGTCCACTTGCTGCGCGTGTGTTTGTGCGCGATTTATCCTCTAATGGGAAAGTTGACGGTCATGGGGCGGCTTCCTGGGTCGGTCAGCGCGGTGGTATCCGTCCGTACATTACGCTCACGCGAGTAATCTAGCGGTCAGCGAGACACACTCTCCTTCCTCCTCGAATCTCTCGATCACTTTATCGTTAATCTTACGCCAACGATGGTAAATTTGTGCGTTCACGTATAGAGTGCGGTACTGAATAATCTTAGCGAGTACATCCAATGCGGCACAGTCGCTCGTGTTGTTTAACATTACGAGGTGGAATGCGTCGGAGCTGACGCACGCGACTCACGACTCTGTTGTGTACTCGCCGATGTTCAATCATCATTCGAACAGTCGACGATATATATTATAGACTCGGGAGCCTCTAACTCCATAAGAAAGCAATAAAGAAAGTTTTTAAAGGGCTATCTATGGGCATATGAGCATTCGAGAAAAGACACCCTCGAATTGAAAGCCGAGCCATCGAGCGCGTCGATAAAGAGGCTGGTAAGGGGGGTAGTTAGAAAGCTGCCGTAGTGCTAATTTCCAAGAGGATGTCAAAAGATACGAGGCGACGAGGGGCACCGTTAACCTAGTGACCTTGTGTCTCTTCCGCAACGAGAAGTAAGAAAGAAAAA